TGCTAACCTGATTAACCTGATGTAAACACTTGATGAAAACAACCCACATGAAAACCATGTCAGCACCTTTATGCCACACATTCCACACATTTCATAAACAAATGGTGATCAATGAAAATATGAGAAGAACAAAATTTGAAAACCTACCAAATAAATCTTGGAGATTTGGTTCCCTGAGGTAAAACGGGAGTCCCCATAGAGCCATGTTGTGTCTGTGATGGGGTGTCTGTTGTCTGTAAGAGGGGGAAAAAATATAATTTACTTTTGTATGATTCCTTACAGATCATAATTGAGTGTCAAAAATACTGAAAATGTATTAGGGATGGACAAAGGGTCAGAAATGGAGAAGTGCTTGGGGCAACAAATCCACAAAAACTGACTAAAAATCTTGAAAAATTGTAATGCTGGGACAAAAAAGTAGTAAATTTATGAGGGGAAAAAAACAAGTAGACAAAATAACTGTCAATGAAAGTGTATAGCCGCTACTTTTAAAGGGATTCATAAGCATAGGAATTATACTGGCTCGTTAAAATGGTTCAGGATAATTCTCATTTAATTATTAATTTTTTTGTCTACTGAATACAAACTCAACTTGTTCAACAACAAAGTTTTGTTTGTGCACTGTAAGAATAAAACACAAAACACAGAAAAACAGATAATGTCTTGCAGAAAATTACCAGTACATTTTCCATTAAATTTACGGACATTTCCTTCAACCATAAAACACTGGCATTGTAGTCTACTCTCCCAGGATCAGGAAACAGTCCTCCATAAAATGTGGTGCACACATCTGAATATTTGGGTTGAAGTGTTCTGGAACAGTGTTGTAAATACAACTTAACCACTGATTTCTAGTCGTGTCCATTTTTGGAAGGCCAAACAAAGTAGTTTCGCTTTCACAACGAAACCGCGTCACACGGTGGCCTACAGTGAGCAGAGGCCGGGGGATAAAGTGAGGAACGGCCAGAGGGCTAGAGTGAGCAGAGGCGGCGGGCTTGAGTGAGGAACG